CCTGAATCCATGTTAATCCATACTGTTTCAACTCCTCTTCACACAATCTCCTCCATGTCACCCACCTTGGACGTCACACTCGAGGGCCTGATGCGCGATGTCACCCAACGGCCTCCTCAGCGAGTGTCCAATCCATCTCCACTTTCTCCTGCATATTTGTTGAGCAATTGGTTCTTGTTTTGTTTCTTTCCATAGTTTCTTGTTGATGATTCTTTCTGGCCATCTGATCTTCAGTATAGAGAACGAAGACAGTTGTTGATAAAGGTCTGCAACAGGCTGTTGGAAATATTCTTTGTGACACACTGGCCAAGTTTCTGATCCGTATAGAAGAAGTGACTTGACGTTTGTATTGAAAATTCGAATTTTGTTGTTGATGCTGAGTAGAGTGACGAAGATTTCCAGATTGGTTTCAGGTTGATGAATGTGTTTCTCGCCTTCCCGATTCTCAATTTGACATCCTCGTCCGTTCCTCCTGTGGTTGAGACAATGCTCCCTAGATAAGTGAATGAAGTAACCTCTTTCAAATCCCTCCCGTTGATGGTGATTGGCGCTATATATTGCAGCTGCTGTTGTTGTTGTTGGTTGGGTATTTTCATAACCTCTGTCTTGTCTATGTTCACCTGGAGTCCCGTCTTTGTTGCATGCTTCTTCCACCAGTTTGTCGGTTTTCGCTTGTAAGTTTTCGATTTTGTGTGACATCAAATATAAATCATCCGTGAAATCCAGGTCTTCTAGGTTCTTTACGTCGGTTCAGGATATCCCTGTCTTCTCGTTTCCCACTGTCTGACGCATAATCCAGACCACCACAATTAGGAGTTATATATAGAACCAGTGAAAACTATAAAATACTGAACAGATGTTTCGTCCTAGCTTGAGATTCTTCAGCGACACGCTCTAGCAACCTTCTCAGGGATTGAATCAAGGACATTCTAGTTACAAGGCTACTACTGAGTGGTCACGCTAAAATCACGAATTGACAGAAGTTAGAATTAAGGGGTTATTGAATTTTGGTCCAGGTGGTAGAATGGTCAACAAGCCTGGCCTTGCAACCTGAAGTTTCTGGTGCGCGCTGCTGAAGAACTCCGAATTCGGACGAAACATCTACCCAATACCCCATGGTTTTCAATGATTCTCTTGCTAAGATCATTCCATGATTAATTTTGGAGTAAATGATGAAATCCCAACAATCTAACTCTTGAAAAGTATCTTTATATTCGTGAAGTGAGAATATTCTTTTCGATATCTTCCTGTTCATTAGGTCCTACAGTTATGTGTCGATAATAATTGAAGAATTATTGTTATTATTAATACTACTGTTCATTAGCTAATTTCAAATCAATAGAAGCTGTTGATCACAGTTCAAAAGCACCTATAAATGATAATTCGGATCAATAAGACACTACAGTAAATGTGAGATAGAATTAAGAAAAATGATACAGATCCACAGCAGACTAGAGTGGTGACAGTGGCTGGACGTATTTCATTTACACTCAGATTTCCGGGTTGTTTTCAGTGGAGTGCAGTGGCTTTTAGCATTCAGAGTATTCGTTATCGATAGACCTTTGGAAAATTTAATTGACAGCTGATAAAGGACGGAAAAGGATGCATCAATACTAGCTGTATAGCTTGTTTTGAACCAGATAATCTAAATAATATCGAACTGTTGTTGATGGCTTTCACTGCACGTTTATTTATCCACATTGGTTGGATGTTGTAGAGCACGAAAAAAAGTCAATTCATAGAGCAATAGCCAATCTAACTGGCTCCACAGCATCAGTTAAATTGTCACTACTCATGATATTCTATTGCATTGCAAGTCCGAATAACTGAAACTTTGGGTGACCTGAGTTTGAATCTCAAAAAGGGATATGAGTTCCTTCAAGATTCCAGATACGCTTTGCTAAGCAGTGCCAAACAAGCACGGGGATTCCTGCTGATTGCCTTTAACCATCTAATATTGCTGTAATTCTTAACGTATGGTGTATGCTTCGTAACCTGAGGATTCCAGATTGGATTCTCTTTGAAGTGACAAATGCGTACAACTGAAGAGTCCCAAACTAGGACGAAATAGCTCTCTTGTGCTCTCTGGTTTTTCAGCATTTCTTTAATTAATACCAGTCACTAATTTGTAACAATGACGTCTGATCACACATGTTGGTTCAGAGATGATAAAAAATAGTTATTTCTAACAAAATGTAATATTCATATTTCCACATTTTTCTTTCATATTCTTCTGCATTCTTTTTTAAATTTTATTTTCTAGTGGTCCTTATGAATATGAACTGCATTTGAGGCCAGATTTATATACAAAAAAGTATACCCAATGGTTTTACTTCAGTGTACAAAATGCACAGAATACTGATAGTTACAGATTTACAATTGTAAATTTCTATAAGGTAAAGATATTTTTGTTATTGTGATTATTATTATTACTCACTTATCGGATTATTCTTTGCTTTCCGAGTGAGATATAGAGCCTCAGCTGCACGTCTCCACTGCAATCTGTGTTTTACCATCATTTTCAGCTGACTTGACGAATCACTCACTAACTTTCAGTATTTCCACTCCTCATGATTTCCTCTTTGTCACTATTGACAGCTTAAATCGTCACTTTCCATTCGGATTCGATTCAATCTTCTGACGTATGATATTATTCATAGGTTCACCACTTCGCCACTGACTGCTAGATTTTCTCGTTGCTTATAATTTTACAGCAGCTATGTGAAACAAATATGCAGGGAGAAGTGGAGGTGGATTGGCAGTACATACCAGGCCATTGCTCGAGTGGAATTGGAATAGGAAGCGGTGATTTGGTCGTCAGTACGAGGGTGACATGAAGGATTAGGTCTTTTGAAGAGGAGATGAGAGCATGTGGTAAGACGTGGAGCCGGGTGAAAATATTGGGGGAGAACCGAACCCAATGGAGACGCGCGGATGATGCCCTATGTTCCTCTAGGAACAAAAGAAAACAATAATAATAACTATTATGTGTGACCTTTGAGCTATGCGTGTAAAAACTTCTTATAATTCGTTCCACCGGTAGACGTAAACAAAGTATGAATAAAACGTCCAGCAGGATAATCTAAGCTCATTTTTATTATTATGGTTATTTAATGGATTCTTTTTAACTGTTTATAACCTAAACAGTTTCAAAATTTGTGCAAACTAAAAATAGGTTTAAGCATCCGTTTATCCCGGAGGGTAACACCTCCGACTGCAACACTGGTTAGTTCGGATTCGAGTCTCATAACAGACACGAGTTCCTTCAAGATTACAGATAAACCTTTCTGACAAGTACCTACAAGCAGGAATTCTAGATCCATGGCTTCCTGATGATTGTATTCAACCATCTAACATAAATGACATTATATTAGCCTTACTTAAATTAACGTGCCTAATTATCAACTTAATCAGTACACGCTACCTGACCCATAAATATTGATCACAAAATCACGAATCAAAATACCTCAGTTAACTGGTTGAAAATGCCCATTAAAACATTCAAAAGAATCATTACTCAACAAAGAATACTCTTTCCGATAATTTCATCATCAGGCTCTACGGTTATATATACATTATAGTGAGGGAATGAATCAGTGTTATGAACAACAATAATGTTGTTTAAATAACATCGCATCAATAATATTAATATCAATCGATTACTTTTCAATAGCATCAACATAACAATACACTGAATATCAGAAAAATTAGGAAAGATAAACGTACAAATTCATGAATTCATAGTCTCTACTGAAGGCTGGCCAGGGCAGTGGAAGTGGCTGGACTTGCTTCTTTTGCGCACAAAGCACTGATTGTTTCACGCGAATGACAATAGCCTCTGCTGTTTGAAACATGCGGTACCTGGATGTTTTTGGTAATTTATTAGGCACCCGGTAGACGATAGAGAAGGATTCTTCCACGCTGGCTGGCTTTTTGGCCAGTTTGCACCAGATGGTCCAATATTGAACTTTCGATGATGGTTTTCACCACACCTTAACTTAGCCATACTGGGAGATGTTTTCGAACACAAAAAATCAAGTTCCTAGAGCAACGGCCAATATAACTCGCTCCACAAGTGAAGTTGAATTGATAGATACAATTTGAAGTGGCTAGTCTAGGTACTTCATCTTTCAGTCGAGGTAACACTATCGGTCGTGTAGAAAATAATACGTGTAGTTCACCAGCATTAGAAGTTCTTTGAACTGATTTTCTTAATTTCTTCGTAGTTATCTCACTTGGTATATCGCCCTTGAATTGTAGTCGTATATAAAGTGGCTTCTTGTTTACAGATGGTTCGTACTCCTTTTCCGCTTTCTTTGTCATGTGTTTCTTGATAAATTTTTCAGGATAGCCATTTTCGATCAAAGTATTATATACAATGCCTTATTCATCTTCAATTACTTCTTCTGAGCATATAGCTCTAACTCTGTGGCTGAGGGTCTTCACTAAATTTCTTTTGTACTGGATAGGAACGAAGCCGTAAAAATGTGTACATTGTCTTGTCCATGTACTTTTTATATGCAAATTTCTTTTATGCTACCATCTGGTTTTCTTGTAAGGAGGGAATCGAGGAAGGCAATTCTGTTTTGAGATTCCTCTTCTCATGTGAATTTCATGGCAGAATGTACTTCAATAAATTCAGTAATTATTGTACTCCTATCCGAATCATCACCACAGAGGATGAAGGTGTCATCCGAATACCGGCAATAAAATATAAACTTTCTGATAAGGTTGTTGAAAGGTTCATTTTCTAATTTACTTAGAAAGAAATCTACCGAAATGGGACTCAATGGGAAGCCCATCGCCATCCCGTCCACTTGTGTGTAAATTGTGACATCAAATTTGAAATTTACATTCATGGTACACCTTAAAAACAATTCTTTTAGGATTTCAGTACGGATGCCAATATTTATCGACTGGTTATACACACTTGTTCACATATTTAGTTAACTGTCTCTACTAGAGGTACATTTGTGAATAAAGATGTTATGTCAAGAGATGTCATGGTTTTGTCCTTGATATTAATATCTTTGATTTTGTCTACGAATTCAGTTTATTGTTATGTTGATGCTATTGAACTGAAATCTATCAATATTATTGATTCGATCTTATTTAAACAGCAATAATGTTGTTCATAACACTAATTCATTCACTATAATGTATATATGAATGTAGAGCCTTATAATGAAGTTATCGAAAAGAGTATTCTTTTGAAAACCTCAGTTATTTAGAAACCTTCTCTGTCGACCAATATACTTAAATACAACAAAGTGTTAGACTGATTTAGGGAAAAGACTTTGAGTATTTTATCTGGCCGGCATAACTAAACTATGGACTCTGAGGTGGTGACCACAATGGAGAAACATGAGATGGCGTCCAAGTCCAATCGGATGCCTACCCCCTAACATAAACATTAAAAGACTTAAAGCATCCTGATATGACCTAGACGTTTGTTTGTTCTGTCTGTATTAAGCTGATTTATTTCGATCTATTTATTTTAGCCACAAGTTTACTTCAGCGCTGTTGGAAGAGACCTACAGTGTCATGAAAGATTTTGTTTTCGGTAATATCCACACAAGAATATGTAGTCAAATGAAAAGTTATTGCCTTTTATTTTTCTTTTTACCCCCGTTTTATAGTCTACTAGTTTATTTGGTCAAGGTATGAGACCTTTAATGTACAGTGAAAAAATGGCCAGACTTACTGGTATCGGTTGGAGACGTGTTGGCAGTGATATTAGTTATTATCAGACGAAGTAAACAACTTTTTTGTTCTAATTTTGCTTGTTCGTTAAATTTTGCATTTCAATGTTCAATGTTTATTGGTTTTAATCTTCATATTACTTAAAAGAATGAGAAAGTTTTAGTCCCTAATTTATATGACCTAAACTACAAGCCTTCTCTCGATGAAAGCGAGAAAAAGAATGGGGACGTGGATTTATGTTTAATATCACACAAACTGGAAGACTTAAAGGCGAAAATCAACAAACAGTGAAGGCACGACTCCAGGTAAGCATAGAGAAGATAACCAACCAACAACAGCAAACACTTATCACTATCAACGGTAGAAATATGAAAGAGGCGATTTCCTTCACTTATCTAAACAGCATCGTTTCAACTACAGGCATTCTGAACGGATGAAGATGTCAAAGCCAGTCAGCAGGTATCGGAAAGGCAAGATACGGCTTCATCAACACGAAAGCAATTTGGAAATCTTCTGTTGTCACTCACTCAGCCAGCATAAAGAACAAGATTCGGATTTCCAACACAAATGTGAAGTGAGTCAGTCACTGCTTCTATACGGGTTAGAAACGTGCACTTCGTGTGAGTTACGAAAGGGATTTCCAACATGTCACTGGAGATTTTCATCAACCACTGCCTTCGTTCCACAGTGAGGATCAAATGACCAGAAAGAATTGGTAACAAAGAACAAACCAGCAAGTGACAGCCGATTGCTCAACAGATACGTAGGAGAAAATGGAGATGGGTCGGGCATACGTTGAGGAGACCGCTGAATGACATGACGCGCAATTCAGGCTATCGTTACAGTGGAATCCCAATTAGGCGCGGCGAGTTGGTGGTCGGTGCGAGGGTGACATGGAGATCGTGAGAATAGTAGATGAGAGATTATGAGCAATCGTGGAGCTGGCCAGCTGAAGAGGATGGTAGAAAGTAGAACAGAATGAAGATGTGTTGTTAAAACCCTATGCTCCACTTGGAACCCAAGGGAATAATAAATAATAATGTAATGATAAATAAACTATAAGATAGTGTACAGTTGTCATATATTCATAATGGCTTATAGAGCGCGATAAGTAGTTCATCGAAGAGTCTCTTTTCAGTAAATTCATTTTCTTTAGCTGTACAATTACATTTATGTACAATTTCATTTTGTGACATTGGACAGCAGAAAAGGGATGAATCACTTCATATGAATAGCAGCTAATATTAATCAGTATTTATGAGAAGTTGGATGAGGTAGATAGAATTACGATCAATAAAACTTATGCGAACTTTGATCAAGATTTGATGGAATGGTTCCACAAATAGTGCGCTCTGAGTGAAAAGTAGGCATACTTAAAAGAATATATTTATATCAATCTCAGTGAAACTGAAGTAAACGTTATTCCAACGTTTTGTTCAGTAAACTAGTCCAAACTTCTTTGAGGAAATGATCAGAATTAGGATATCAAAGGTATATATGTATATTATTTTATATTTTATTTTGATTACAGCTTGATACCACACCGTATTTTCAGTACAAGTATGGAATTTTCAGCATGGATATCGGTAGCCCAAATTTTGAAGGCTGACCATAGATATCGGGTGTGCGTCGGCAGGAGATCGAACCCCGGACCATGTGCCTGGTCGGCGAGAGTCCTGACCACTGTGCCACCGACGCACATATGAATATATGATAACTAAATACTATCCTGCAGTTTATTATTCACTGTTATATTATTATTATTCCCTTGGGTTCCGAGTGGAACATAGGGCTTCAACAACACATCTCCACTTTGTTCTATTTTCTGCTATTCTCTTCAGCTTGGCCCACGATTGACCATAATCTCTCATCTACTATTCGCATGGTTTCCATTTCACCCTCGTACCAACCAACCACTCGTTGCGCCTAATTGGGACTCCACTGAAGAGATAGTCTGAATTGCGCGCCATGTCATTCAACGGTTTCCTCAACGTATGCCCAACTCATCTCCATTTTCTCCTACGTATCTGTTGAGCAATCGGTTGTCACCTGTTGGTTTGTTCCACTGCAGAGTTTCTTGTTACCGATTCTTTCTGGTCATTTTATCTCCAGTGTGGAGCGAAGACGGCGGTTGATGACAATCTGCAGTGACATGTTGGAAATCCTTTTCGTGACTCACACGTAGTGCAAGTTACTGACCCGTATAGAAGCACTAACTGATTGACTTGACATTTGTGTTGAAAATATAAGTCTTGTTCTTTATGCTGAGTGGATGACTGCAGAAGATTTCCGAATTCGTATCAGGTTGATGCTCTTGTTAAACTGAACATATTCGCTGTACCATATTACTCACATGAAAAAGGCTCTCGGAATCACCATCCAGCCCGACTAGCAAAGCGAGAACAAGAGTGCGCACACTGTTCCATAACTTGGTATCTTATGATCTTAGAACATTCAGATCCTTTTACGAAGTCTTTCAATTTTCTATGTATGATTCAATCGAACCTTTCAGAGAGAGAGTGAAATAAAGACATGAGTATAGATGAGGCATTAACGGTCGAAAAATTTAAACAAACGTTATTCATTTAAAAGAAGTATATCCAGTCTTTGTCTTTGCCATGGCGATCCATCATAAACAGTCCATTTTCTCAGAATGTATTATCCGATTGTGTTTTATATCCAAACGTTCTGTTTACTTTCATTATTACTACTATTATTAGAATTTTAATCCCCTTTTGCATTACGTAATCTAACCTTGATGGAAAGAGGCTCATCTTACTGAAGTTTTTGTAGCAACTTTGTTTACAGGGTGGGGTTTCTAGCCTCACGCCTGAGAAGAGGGTTGTTACATGTATGTACAGTTTACAGAGGAGCAACTTTATGGGTTGCTCCCCTTAGAATCAGGAAAACAAGGAATAAAGCAATCAGAACAATACCAGCAAAAGGAAAATAAAGATTCACAACAGGAAGGGCAGCGACAACAACAAAAAAGGAAATATAGCAGTAGTATCACTGTCAAAAATGGTTAACAAAAGTAATATCAAAACCATAGACTCACTGACTTTGGTCAACTTGGGTCAACCAGGAACCGATTATCCAACAAATAAATATGCAGGAAGAAATGAAAGTGGATTCGCCATACTTTGAAGAAACCATCAAGTGACCTCACGCGACAGGCTGTCGAGTGGAACCCGAATGAGAAGTGGTAATTTGGTCGTCAGTGAGAGGGTGACATGGAAGACGTTTTGTGAAGAGGAGATGAAAACATGTGAGCAGACGTGGAGCCAGTTGAAAACGTTGTCAGAGAACCGAACGGAATGGATGCGTGCAACTGAAGCCCTATGTTCCCCTAGGAACTAAAGAAAACAATAATAAATATAATAATAATAACCTTGATGGCTGTGTTAGTGGGTGTTACATCGAACAAAATTATCTAATATGGAATTAAAGTTGATGACATTGCCATAAAGAAAGATTTTGCTTCTATGCAATCATCCTTTTATTTTTCACAATTGTAATTAATGATGCATTTGTCTTCCTTCTCTCAACTGAATGGTTTAATGACAAACACTTCACTTCCCTTCTATACAACGTCATCAGTACTGATCTCAAAATGAGTTGAGCTTTTAGAATTCCCAACAAGTTCATATAGAAGTCACAGATGAAAACGGTGTCCAGAAGGAGAAAATGAAACCCCCAGCTAATAGAGAGAGAGAGAGAGAGGGAAATCACAATTACTCTGTCTGTCTGTTTTCGACACAGAACTATGCACATATGTGCGGCAGTTCAAGTCGCCACACTCCCCACATGTAGCACACAAAGCAAGAGAAGAAAGTCGAAGAAATGCATGATATAGTCAGTAAACAGAGGTGTGAAACAAAGGAATAGTGATAACGAAGAACAAAACAGTTTCACCGGAAATCATAAGTCACAAGGAGTGGATGCATCCGCACTATCCAGTGAGAACGATTTTGAGCCATGTCACCAATTGTTTCCAACCATTGGTTTTTACCGTCCCGAGGACTGCAACCAGGAAGTCTACACCTTTCTACGTGGCTTAGACTAACTGTTGTAGATTTCGTAGACTGGTGCCATGTTTTGGTTTGACCACCGCCAGCCCTTTTCCAGCCTGACCCTATATCAGCTAACACTGTCCATTATCGAGGAAGGTGATGACTAGGCATACGTAACACATGTCCTAACCATCTCAGTCGATGTAGCTTCACAGCCTTGTCGATTGATTTCCCCTCCTTACGTAGCACTCGACCAATGTCTAACCTCAATATTGCTTACCTTATTATACCACTTCACACGGGAGACAGGACGCAAGCACCTGTGATCAAAGACAGCTAGCCAGCCTTCTCATGTCTTCCACTCTCAATGGCCATGTCTCACAGCCATAAAGGAGAATAGAGCGGACTACTGAGCAGTACACACGCGATTGGGTCGATAGTCGGATATCACGTCTACGCCAGAGACGGCGTAAACTGGCATATGGGAAACTAACCCTCTGTATTCATGCTGAGGTTTCGTCAGAGATCAACGCGTTGGGGCTGATGGTACTTCCCAAGTAGGTGAAGCGGTCAACGTTCTCTACCACTTCACTTCCTATTTCTAATCTAGGAGTCGGAGTAGTCCAATCCTGTAACATCATCTTGCATTTGGCGGGAGCGAATCACATGCCAAACATACGAGGATTTCTGCCCAAGGTGTTCAGAAGACTCTGCTCTATTTTGTCAGCGTCCTCGCCTAGAAGGACTTTATCATCTGCATATTCTAAGTCAACGAGATTGTTCCCTGGTAGCAAGTCAATCCCTGAGTCTCTGAAGTGAGTTAGGGTTAAGTCCATTAGTACATCTGTGATGAAGTTGAATAGAAATGGTGATAATAGGCATCCTTGAAGGACGCCACTAATCGTCACCACTTCAGATGACAACTCGCCATAAGCCCTCACCTGGCTGCATGAGTATGAGTAAAGTGCCTTAATCAGTGCAATGTATTTTTGTCGGCATTCCCTTTACAACCAAGCATGGCCAGAGAACCTCTCGGTCGACAAAATCGAATGCCACCTTAAGGTCAATTAATATAATTATTGTTGGACGCCGGTAGGAATGCCTATGTTTTCGAATCTGTCGGAGGGTGAAGATATGATCAATGCACCCTCTTCCTGGCCTAAAGCCTGCCTGCCATAATTACACACATCTTTCTCATCATTTCTAAAAATTTATTTTAAATAATTTACAATTTTTATAACCAATACATTTTGAAATGTTTCCTACATTTCTCTTTTACATTAATAGATTTACTGAACCTACAGAAAATGGTTTATCATCAGTGAGAAAATTCTTATCAAATTCTAAACGCTCTGCATATTCATTAACTTGGAAATTTAATTTTCCCTATCCAAATGATATTGTCTACTTTGCTGCATGTTATCCTTACACGTATACACAATTACAAGAGTATTTAAATGAATTAGCAATGAATTCAAAGATACGAAGAATATGTCAACAGACAACATTGTGTTATACACTTGCTAATAATCCTGTTCCTTTATTAACTATTACAGAACCATGTAATAATAATGAACAATACACCGGTAATAAAGTAAGTGATCTTTCTGTTAGATTTATTAGTAGTCTAGTTGTGAAGCTACATTGATTTGAGATGACTAGGAGACATGTTGAAGAACACACCAAGTCACCACCTTCCTTGGCGAGCAATTTTGTTTAATAATAATAATAGTAATAATAATTTGCTTTATTCCAAAACATTACATGTGATACAGAATGGAATTCTCAGTATTTTTACTACATTATTGCATCCAGTTAGTACATTATCAATAAATAGAATTCTACAAAGATTAAAGAAATCACAGTTCATTATTACAACAACACATTGGCATGTCAGTAGCAAAGGAAAAGCTGAACAGTGTTTGGTGTCAGAAAAGTAGGAGCTGTCATATTTACTGGCGTAAGTTAGAGAAAGAAACAAGGCAGCACATAACGGAAAAAGAAGAGAGAGAAAAGGAATAGAAAGAAAGAAAATGTTGTACCTATAAATGATATTAGTTGGAAAGACAAGGTGCAGTTCTTCTACTGACTATCTAATGAATTATAGGTGTCACACCTAATGCTTTCTTTATCGCCAAGTAGGTTATGGTTGAGTTTTTGTACTTGCTGGTGCGAGCATATAGTTTCCTATATAGGCTTCCGGTCCTCCCTGAGGAGATGCAAGGGGAGAGTTGTGAGTTAAGAGGGTGGTGTGAATTAGATAAAATGGATTTGGCCCATTTTTCACATGAGTCCATATGCCTGTCAACCAGAATATTAACGAGATAG